GAGAGAGAGAGAGAGAGAGAGAGAGAGAGAGAGAGAGAGAGAGAGAGAGAGAGAGAGAGAGAGAGAGTTTTGAACTTTTAAGGCCAATCAGGCAGCCAGCCTCACAAGACAGGCAAGCAGCGGGATACGTTACAAGGCAACAGGGAAAGAGAGGCATTGGGCGTTGGCTCATTCGCACATTAGATAAAAGAAAGCGGGCACGGGAGAAGGTGCTGACCATCAATTGCAGGTTGCAGAGAAGGGCCGCGGTCGATCAAGCAGTAAGGCTTGATGACTTGGGGATAATAATGGCGACGAGAACAATCACACGAAAGAGAGGGAGAGAAAAGACGTCTACAGCTCAGTCAAAGAAAAGCGCAAAGAGAGTACTATCTACGCAGGACCATGGGGCAGAGCAGCACCGCACGTATCTCGGTCCTGATTCCAGCACTCAGGGTGCCACGTAAAAAAAAAAAAAAAAGACAACAACAAAACAAATCGAACAAGCAAACCAAAGCAAACCAAAACTCGAAAGGATGCTGTTACAAGATGCCCCTTGGCGAACACACACACGCGCACACACACGCACACACACTTTGCCAGTTGCTTAGCGTGCTCCACTCGCCTGGAGGGTAGGACCCAGAAGCATGGCCAATCTCCGCAACTTCATGTCCCACGTCAAGTCGGCGCATGAGACCAGCGCAGCGAGCGAAACCACACCGTCACAATGGGAAATGAACACCTGTGGGCCATCTGCTGCTAACAAAACAAAACGAGTTCGTGAACGGATGGAGCAGAGCCAAGCTGCTGATAGCATGGCTTCTGTCTTGCCCACTGCAAGAAAAAAAGAAAGAAGAAAAGAAAAAAGAAGGGGGGGGGGTTGGCTCTTGGTCAAGGGGGCAACACAAGCCCCGACAGACGGAACAAGGGTGATACACCCCAACCATCCTTCATTTACGAAGATTCGGCACCCAGATCGAGGGGCAAGGCAGCATTGGTCAGGCCGGGACGCATGGTGCTCGTCAATTGATCCGAAGCTGGACCAGCACTTCCGGCGTGTTCTGATCGCGGCGGCGACGCGCTGACTGATCGCTCCATCTGCACCTTGGCACCCAAATCCGCCAGACGGCGGCTCACATTGTGCATGGAGCGCTCCTGCATGGTGGTTTGCTCACCGCGCTGGAATGCACGCATGGTGGTATTGCGCAGCTGGAGCTGCGAGTGCATGTCGTCCAGCATACGCGTCTGCTCACGGCGCAAACGGTCCTCCAATGTTCGGCGATGGGTGCTCAAGCGCGCATTCTCCGCCTCCACGGCCTGTGCCCGCTGCTCGGCAGACATTAGGCGTCGTTCGCGGTCGTGGAGCGTGGCCACCATCTCCTGCTGAGCCGCTTGATCAACGCGCTGTTGCTGCTGCAGCCGATCATGGTCCGCCTTCAAATGCATCAACTGCTCGCGCAGTTGCTTGTTATTGCCCGTCAGCGATGCACTGTTAACCTTTTCTCGATTGGCTACCGCCCGCTGTGCATCCAGCTGCCGCTCTAGCTCTCGAGCCAGCGCCGCGTGATTGGCTGCCTCGCGACGGCTAGCCTGCCGCAACTGCGCCACCTCCCGTTGCAACTCTTCGTTGGCCAAACGCAAACGCACAGCCTCGTCCTTCAAACTCTGCACGTCCGCCTGTGCGTGACGTGCTGTCTCCTGCGCCAGTGCCAGTGCCTTGAGCTGCTCCTCCGCAGTCGCCATTTGCTCAGATAGCGCTCGGGTCTGTGCCTCAAAAGCGGCGCCATCATCCTGCGCCGTCGCCAAGTCCTGCCGCGCTGCTTCCAATGCCGCCGTGCACTGTTGCAGCTCTCGGCTGACCGGCTCCAAGCTGGCCACGGTCGCCGAGAGCTCAGATTGCAGTTGTGCAGCTCGCTCTTCGAGCTCAGCCACGCGCGAGCCCGCTGCTGTCGCCTCACGGCGCGCCGTCGCTAGCGCTGCCGTCGTAGACGCCAGTTCCTCCTCTCGCTGTCGAACCAAACCCCGAGCTTCCTCCGTACGACGTTCAGCCTCGCGCACTTTGTTTCGCGCCGCTTGCGTTGCTTCGCGAGCGTCTGCCAGCTCAGCGCGCAACGCGCCCATCTGCTCGTCAAATGTTGCTCTTTCCGCCTCAAACCCGTGGCGCACCGTCTCTAGCATGGCCTGGGCTTCCCCTGCTTCGTCGCGGGCATGCGTTAGGTGCTGCTGCAGCTCATTCTGAACCGACTGAAGGCGAGCTGCCAAGGCGGCGTTTTCCTCTCGGCTTTCCATCAACTGTCTCTCCAGTGCCACCCGCTCGCGCTGCTGAGCCTGTTGCTCCTGCTGCTGCGCCACGATGGCACTCTCGTCCAAAACTGGTGGTGCGTGAAGGCGATCACGCAACTCGCTGACCTCGGCCATAGCCGCATCTCGCTTGGCCTGAGCGGTTGTTGCTTGCTGCTCGGCCCGTTGCAGCTGCGCAGTCATCTTGGTGGTCGCCAAGGCCAATTGGCGCAGCTTCTGGGCTGGCTGTGTCAGCGTTGCAAAAGCAGACATCTCATCCTTTGGCAGGCCTCGCCATGCGCGATCAATCAGGCGCTCATGCTCAGCCAATGCCTCGCGATGGGCACCGTCCTCACTGCGCGCAGCTCGCAATTGCTGTTGAAGCTCGACCACCTCCTTTTCGTATTGCTCCTGTTGGGTGGTGCGGTCACGATTCAGAGCGTCTAACATGCCCGCGCGCTCGGCCGCCGTGGTAGCCAAGCGATTCTCGGTGGAGCGCAGCTGACGAGCCAGCTGGTCACGCTCTTCGGTCAAGCGGTTGATTTGCTCCTGTTGTGCCGCATCATTCACACGGCGCTGATCGCGCTCTCGCGTCACGTCCGCTAGGAGTGTGCGGTTGGCGTCGTCCTGGTCCGCGCGATGACGCAGATAATCAAGTTCTTGCGTTCGGTTCTCCAGCAAGATTGCTTTGGTCCGAGCTTCTTCAGCAAGCGCCCGGTTTTGCTCTTGCAAGCGCGCACGCTCATTGCCCATGTCTCGGAACTCTTCGGTGCGCTGCAGGCGCAAACGATTGAGCTCTTCCTCCAACTCGTTGACCTGGTCCTCAAAGCGCTGCACCCCCGATGTAAAGGTACTGCGCTCTTGCTCAAAGCTGTCGCGAATGGCCTCAAGCTCTTGGTCCTTGGCGGCGAGCGCCAGGCGCAGTGCCATGGCGTTGTGCTCGGCCGCTTCGATATCTTGCAGGTACTGGGCGTGGTCTGCCTCAGCTTGAATACGGTCCATGTTGCGGGCTTCACGTAACTTGGCCAATTCACCCTCTAGTCGTAGCTGCAAAAAGCAAGAAGAAACATGAGAGCAGAGCCCAACACCAACATCGAATCGGTGAATTTTTTTCTCTTTTTCTTTTCCATACAAGGCAGCGATTTCCCTTTGTCCCGTGGCAGTCACCGCAAGACCACTGTTCCCAAACTGACCTGCTCTTTTTGATGACGTTCTGTAAGCGCGGCCCGCTCTTGAGCAAACCGTTGTCGCTCAGTCTCCAAGTCCAACTCGAAGCGGCGCAAGCGTTCCAAGGCCTCGCGTTCGCGTTCCTTGTACTCCTCCGTCGCTTGTTGCTCGACAGCCGACTTGTCGTAGATCTCACGCAGCTCACGCAACGTGCGCTCCAGCTCGGCCTCGTGGTTCTCGTGAATTTCAGCGATGACAAGGCTATGCTCCTGCTGCAAACGGGCAAGGTTTTCCTCGTGATGCGCGTGAGCCTGGCGTAGCTCTGCCTGTAACCGGTCGACTTGCTGCTGGTTGTTATTGAGCTCAATTTCATACTGGCGCAGCTGCTCCAGGATGCGTTCAATTCGGTCCTGATGTGACGCATCGTTGTCCGTGGCAAAGCGCTGAGCACCGGCCAGATCTGATTCGTGCCGGCGTTGCTCCACCAGCAATGCTTCCTTCAAAGTTTGCATCTCCGCCTAGGGGATGCGCAAGAGGTAAGCAGGTCAGCATCAGCATAGAATAGCAACCACGCAAGTCCAAGGTGTGAAAGTTAGAAAGGCAACGGCAAAAGAAACAAAAACTTGACAATGCGAAAAGGAAAATTTCAAAGCTACCGACCTCAAATTCGGCCTCCATTTCCAGCACGCGGGCATGGTTGTCCTCGGCAGCTTCCTGCAGGCGCACAATGTTGTTTTCAGCGAGGACGAGGTCCTCTTGAAGCGCATCGCGCTCTGCGGCGAGGCGCTCCATCTCCAGTTGCTGCTGTTCTCGCTCCGCCTGCAACCGTTGGGTGTCAGTCAGTTCCGTTTCCTTATTGAGGGACCGTGCCGCACGGAGTTGCTGCTCCAAGTTTTGCACTTCTTGTTGATGGCGCGAGCGCTCATTTCGCAACTGTTCCCTCAAGGCACCGACGTCAGCGGCGCTGCGCTGAATGATATCCTCCATCTGCCGAGCGACGAGGTGGGAGGAGGCAAGATGCCCGCTTGCTACATTCCCCGGAGCCGCAAAGGATCGCTCGCGCGCCTCCCCACTAGTTGGTGCGTTAGTGCCATGCATGGCAGAAGTGGCATTAGGTGAGAGATTGAGAAGCTAGGATTCTTTTGGAGAGGAAAGAAGGCGGACTCTTTAGGGCGAGTCCAGCTCAGAGAATTGAGAATTGTGGGGGTGAGAAGCAAATGAAGGTACCTCATTTTGGAGCGGTTCAAGCTTGAGTCGAGGCCATGTGCAGCTTCCAGTTGCATCAGGCTACGCGCATGTTCAAATGAGCATCAAATCACATTAGACGAACGGGTGTGTTTTTTTTGTGCGGCAGAGATGGGCCTTGATCGTACCGAGCAGAAAGTTGACGATTCTCATCGCGCAAGGATCGAATGGTATCTTGGGCTTCCGACTCGCTGCGCTGGAGTTTTTTGCGTTGGGCTGACAGGGCGGCATGATCGCGGTGCAAGTCTCCCTGGTGGCGCGAATAGGCGTCGTCTTGTTGGCGTTGGTGTTGAGCGCGGAGTTGATCGACTTCAAACAAACGGTCTTGGGTGCCTTGCTCGGCATTTTCGAGCTGAGTTTGAAGACGACGAATAGCAGGGGCAATCTGATCTTGGCGATGAAGACGCAGAAGCGAGCGAGATTGCTCCAAATCGGGACGCATGCGATCGAGTTCCCGGCCCTGCTGGTCGACGCGTTGTTCAAACTCTGTGCACAAGGCAAAGAGCGTGTTCACCTGTTTCCAGGTGGAGGCGTTGGGGGAGCAGTCGTGAGCTTGCAGGTAATCAATGACTTTCTGCATGTTCTGCTCCGTTTTGCGGTCTTGGGCGCGGCGGGCAGTGGCCAGGACGGGGGCGCCGGTGCGACGGGCCTTCTTGTCTGTGTTGGGTCGATGTGGGTGTTGGGCTCGTGAGCGTGCCTGGCATTCGTGGAGCCAAGCGTTCTCTTCCTCCAAAGCCTGCATGCGCTCGGCAACGACTGCACTTGGGGCTGCGCTCGGGGCAGCAGAAGCGGTATGGCCCTCGGCTGCAGCTGGGCCAGCACCAGAGGGTGTAATGACAGACAAGGCGCTGCCTCGTCGCTCGAGGGGAGGCCCAACATCGCCGCTGGCCATGAAAGAGCCGCGACGAGAAAGAGGGGCACCAGCTGGGCGGAAGGGCGGGCGTTGGCTGTTTGGCACTGAGGGAGCACCACTTGACGAGGCAGTGCCCGAGCCACGCCGACTGCCCGGCCTATGTGCATCACCTTCTCCAGATGACGTGGGGCGGTGATTCATCTGCTGGGCCTGTTCAAGTTCGGCCTGGAATCGCTCCTCCGCTTCCTCCAGAAGCGCATGAAGCTCATTTACTTCTTGGCCAAGTGCAATGTTTTCGTCGCGTGCACGCTCAAGTTGTCGTTCCAGCTCGGCCATGTCAGCAGCACTGGCATTGGTGGTGGCGTGAGTTGCGGCAATGTCGGCTTCCAGAGCGAGCAGCTCATCTCGAAGGTCAACGTTTTCAGCCTGCAGGGCAGCCTCACGATTGACCAAGGACGCTCGACGTTTAGCTTCAGACAGTTGGGCCTCTAAGCGCGCGACTTGCTCTTGTAATTGGATGACTTGTGCAGACTGGCCCTCTACCGAGCGATTTAAAAACGGAGGGGAGGTGGGAGGCATGACGTGAGCTTGCCGGTGCAGGTGGGCTACAGGAGGCAAAGGCCTCGACAACAGCGCGCAAGGGGTTAGAAGAGGCCACATGCTCTCACCTGCGGTGGAGGGACGCGAGGTCTGTTGCTGAGCTTCACGGAGAGGGACATTGACAGGTTGCTCCACTGGTGCTTGCTCAAGCTCAGCAATGCGTGCCAACAAGGCATCGTTGTCTTGTTGGGCGTGGTGCAGTTCGCGTTGATGCTCACGGGTTACGAGCTCGAGCTGTTCGCGCAGCTCATTAATGGCTGCAGGATCGACGGTCTCGTTTGCTAATTGCTCGTTGAGCGTGCGTAGTTCCGCGTTTTCGCGTTTGGTGCTTTCGAGCTCTAGCCGCATGTCTTCAATCATCTCGGTCATTCCCGCAACGCTCGAGAGGGAGTACCGAGAGCCGGTTTCCGAGTTTTCACCCAGAGCATCATTAAGAGCGTCAATCTCCCGCTCGTGCTCCTCCTGCATTTTCTCAAGCTCTTGCTGCAGTCTCAAAACCTACAAAGGAAGTCAGTTGAGAGGGTACAGTGTTTGAGGGTTGATCGATAAAAAAAAGATAGACAGGTAAATGTGCGAGTGTGTGTGTGAGTGTGTGTGAGGAGAGGGAAGAGAGGCGAGACGGAGAAGCAGAAGAAGCAAGAGAAGGGAGAGAGAGAGAGAGAGCTCAGTGTTCTCCAAATGGAGTACAAAAAGGAAGGGGAGACGGAACGGTTGGGGGCAAAAGGGGACAAGAGGTACCTGTTTGTAGAGATTATCAGCTGGATGAGGGCCGGAGTAATGTTTTGTGGCATCTTCAAGTTGATCAATCAGGCGCTCTTGCTCGACCTGTAATTCTTTAATCCTAGATTCAGGGGTTTGATGACGCCGTGAATGACAGATTGGGAAGCAGAAGCGTGGGAGGCTGAGCCAAAAGGCAAGAGGGAAGGGGGCGGATGGGAAAGGGAAAGGGAGAGGGAGAGGGAAGAGAAAGGGGAGGGGGGCACGGCAAAAATGAAAAAAGGACGAAAAGCATATGGGCACAGGCTTACCGGTCAGCTAGAGCAAGATTCTCCTCGCTCGATTCGGCAACCTCCGTGCGCAAGCGCATGCACTCGGCGTTGAGATTCTCATTTTCTTGTTCCAGCTGCAAGCAGGGAGGCGAGCAATGAGGGTGCCGAGCAATGAGGAGGGAGTGACGGCAGAGATTGTGGAGTTGCTGCGGGGAGTGCGAGTCTTCGTTTTACCTGTTCATATTTGTCATGAAGCTCGCGGTACTGTTCAAAGGCGACGGCTCGAATGTTCTGCTCGTGGTCTTGGCTGTGATCCAAGGAATGCCGGCGCAAGGGCTGTGGGGGCGAGAGAGTAGGGTTTACTTGGAGGTGAAGGGGTTTGGGCAAAGGGCGAAGCAGCGCTGCGAGCAAGAAGAGCGTACCACGTGAATGTGTCCTTCAATATTATTATGGGTGCCAGGGTGAGCTCCATTGGATTTGCCGGCCGAGGCTGAGGCCGATGCAAAGTGCGGGGTCTAATGTGGCGGATGTCATCAAGCCGCAAACGCGTGAGAGCGTGCATGTCACTTGTGTGTGTGCGTGCGTGTGTGTGTGTGTGTGTGTGTGTGTGGTTGAAGACGGGCAAGGAGGGAGGGTTGCGAGCAACGCGTGTCAGTGGAGCGAGGGGCAAGCGGTTGGGGGCTGGTACCTGGGTGGGTTGATCTTCAAAATCAAAGTCGTCGTCGTCGTTTTCGTAATCCTGGCCAGCGCTACCGTTTCCCGGGTAGCCGTTGTGGGGGACGGAGTGACGGGGAAAGGCAGGGGCCTCGGCAAAATCAGCCTGATCAAAAGTGTCGTCAACCAGACCGGCGGCCTGATCGGCGAAGCGTTGCGCCATGGCGAGCTATTGGGCTGGATTAGGTGCCAAGCTGAGGTTGAGGTCTCCGTGTAGTGGAAAGGAGGTCAGAAAGGTGGGTCGAGCCTGTTAGCCTAGGGGAAGAGGAGGGGAAGGACGAGGACGGAGAACGGGTCGAAAAAAAAAAAAAAAGTCGGATAAGCGCTTAGGCAAGCTGTGGGCGCGGTGGAGAGGCGTGAATGCAGGCAGAGGAGGAGGGAGGAAGAGGAGGAGGGAGGAAGAGGAGGAGCAGGAGGTGGTGGAGGTGGAGAGAGGGAGAAAGAGGAGGAAGAGGAGGAAGAGGAGGAAGAGGAGGACGAGGTTGAGGTGGGTTAATGTGATGTGCAGGTCGAGCGCGATGGCCAGCGGATAGTGTAGCAAGGCGTGTGTGCGAGCGCGAAAGAGTGAGAAGTTTTGATTCAGTCGTGAGTCGTGAGGCGTGCGTCGCGAGGCGTGAGGCGTGAGTCGTGAGGCGTGAGGTGTGAGGCGCGAGGCGCGAGTCGTGAGGCGTGAGGCGTGAGGCGTGAGGCGTGAGAGTATCCATCTATCTGGACGACCATCGCATCGGTGTGTGTAACGTAACGGATCCGGTGGCACTGGAGCACGAGGTCTGATTCAAACCCACCTCAACGAATGCAGCAACTGCTCACGGCTGCCCAACCCCAACCAGCTCCAACACTAGCAAACCTCTGTCGAGATCAAAGCCAGAAACGCGCCACACAGAGAAAAGCGGCAGCACAGGTCTGGCCACTGAACGGGTCGGACACTGCCGCTGCCGCCCGACCAACCGCGCTCGGAAACTAGAGAGAGAGATAGCTTGAGAGAGAGAGAGAGAGAGAGAGAGAGAGAGAGAGAGAGAGAGAGAGAGCTTGAGAGAGAGAGAGAGCTTGAGAGAGAGCTTGAGAGAGAGAGAGACAGAGACAGAGAGAGAGAGAGAGAGAGACAGAGCACACACAAAAAAAAAAAAAACGGTAAGCAGCAAAAACTGGTGTTTTGAACATAATCCGATAAAAGAAACAGTTCATGCTTCTAATTCAAGAGAAGATGCAGATACTATAAAGAAACCAATTTTACGACGGGTAGTATAAAGCTGAATTTGAGTAGACGCGATCCGTTAAAAAAAAGTATACGCTCGAGTTTCGATTTGCATGGTTGTCCTTTAGGGCCAGAGCCGAGCTACCTATGGGGGTGCCTGGGTCATTTGGGGAGTGTCCCGTCTCATGCAGCCTCCCAAGTCAATTGGCGCAACGGTCGCCGAGTTATTGTGGCCTCAAATAGGCTGCTGGGTCGTGCCATCGCTGAGAAACTCTGTCAAAAACTCTCCTTCGGAACCCTTGTACTTGTTCGCAATGTGGGCCGCCAGATAGCCATCCCTCATGTCATTGTGGATGAACGGCACCTCGGACAGAGCCTTTGCTTCCAGCAAGAGGCCGTCCATGTTGAGATCGGCACCCAAGTTGGGCGCGGGGTCATCGTCATTGCATCGCAGGTTGATGTCGACCGGGTCGCTGCTGCTTGTGGCGTTCAGACGGACCACGCCCGGGCGCGCCGCGCTAAACTCAAAGTGGAACACACCAGAGATGTTCTTGACAGCCTTGTCCATGCTCTTGGCCACATCAACATCTCCCAATTGATCCATCGCACAGCTGAACCAGGCTTGCAGGTCGAAGATGCGGTGCTGTCCTCCACTGCGGCCATCATGTCACGCGGGGTCCAGACATCTCGTTGTTTGATGCGGCATTTGATCAAGCCAAAGTAGGCGTCGCAAATGTTCTTCGTGTGGCCAGAGACCATAAAGTGCAGCTTGATGGTGTCGTTCAAGCCCACCATGACCCGCCATGCCAAATAGGCCATGACAAACCTGTTCTTGTTCTGGTCCGTGGCCAGTCCAGGGTTCGCAGGTGGAGGCAGCTCCTGCTCATCATCGTTGTCCATGGGCCCCAGGACGGGCTCCAGGGGTTGCTCCGGAATAATGCCCAACATCTCCTCGGGATTTGCGTCGTCCAGGTCGTCCAGGTCGTGCGTGAGAAGGGGGGGCGGGGGGCGGGGGGGGCTCCGAGTCCATCACGCTGACACTTCTGTCTGACTCCTCTCACTGGAATGTCAGACAAAATACTGACGTCGACGATGGATCGCCGACAAATGTCAGAAATAATGAACAGTTGGGCTCGAGTTTACACGGGGGCCGTTGTACAATCCCCCTCCAATTTCAACATTCAGATAGTGTTATTATACACATACCTCTCTTATGTATAAACATCTGACATTGGTATTCTCTGACAAATGGTGCGTGCGCTGAACTGGAAGCAGAAACACACACACACACACACACACCTCTTGCCCGCCCCCACACACAGGAGTTCCTTTCCCACACGTACGTGTCCTTTTGCCACACGCATCTGTAGTTTGGTATGAGTAATAACATTAAAACTATCACACGTGTAGGTATGGCCTGTCACACACACACCACACACACATTTTTTTTTTTTTGAACGGTAACTGCGCGCTGCTGCTCGCTGCTCGCTGCGCGCTGCTCGCTGGTGGTGCTGGTGATGCTGGTGGTAGTAGTGGTGGTGAGGGTGGCTAGGGTGCTCCTTCTACCTCTTGTTCCCTCTTCCTCCTCCCTCTTCTCTGCCTCCCACTTCCCGTCCTCCTGTTCCACCTTCGTCTTCTGGGTGGTCCTTTTCCGTGTTCGTGTTGGCGTTGGCTGCTCCCTTCCCTCACCTCACCTCACCTCACCTTCCCTCACCTCACCTCACCCCGGTCTTTTCGTCTCTTCTGACGGATCAATTGGCGTCGTGTGTAGGGCGCGCATGCGCAGTACCAAACGGCAAATGTTCCAAGCGGACCCGAGCACCGGCGTGTAGGCCACGCGAGCCGTGCGCGCATACAACATACCATACACACAGTGGGGCGCCCCACTGGGGTCCACCGCTGACCCGGACATCCCGACAACGGCGTCCTGATCAGATTGGCAATCTCGCAACACGGACAATAATAAGAAGCAGCGCATTGCTCTACGAAGCAGCGCATTGCTATATCATTATCCTGATTGTCGTCAGCCCAGTCGTTCCTCTTAAAAACGTTGATCATGTCCGGGTCATCAGCCGTTGAAGATCTGGCGCTGGCCCTCGCCGTTGCTTTTTCCATCATCATCCTAGGCTACGCCCTTCGCTTCTTCAAGGTGCTGTCCCCTCTGCATTCCCAATCCTCAAACGCCTCCAGCCCCAACGCCCGACCTTACAACCCCATCTACGTCCACGTGCCACCTCATCCTCCCACTGCACGCTTCACACAGATTCTCACGGCCGCCCATTCCACGGGCATTGGTCGCTTCTGCACCTGGGTGGCCCTGCCTGCCTTTGTCTTCAATGCCCTCATCAACTTGGACTTTTCTGGCCTTGACCTCAACTTTTTCTACGCCTTTCTCATCGCCAAAGGTCGGCCTTTGACCCGATTCAGGGCTCAGTGGCAGACTCCTTCCCATTTCTCACCCCAGCATATTACACTGTCACTCAGGAGCCGTCGCCATCATTGTCATTGCTGCCTCCCTGCTCTTTGATCGCAACCAACCCGCCCCCCTGGCTGCTGCTTGCATGCGAGCCGTCATGTGTACCTTTTCTAATGACTATGCCCTCGGCGTCCCCGTCATCGACGCCATCTATCCCAACCCCAAAGTATGCCCCTGCTGCTCATCCACCCCTTTCTTCTCCGCCGCCGTAGTGGCGAATGCAGTTCCAACCCTACCAGGTCTCACTTACTCTCTTGATTCCGCGTCTCACTACGCTTTTAGACGCAATCATACCTCATGCTGGTGGCCCCCGTGTCGCTCCTCATCATCAACCCGATTTGCTTTGTGCGTCTCTGCTGCTTCCATCCATCCATACATCTATCCATCCATCCATCCATCCATCCATGCGTTCATACAGACAAGCAGACAAACGGGCAGGCAGACCGAGACGAACACACAAACATACCCTCTCTCTTTTATTTCGTTGCCGCAACCCAAAACCAGTCACGCATCTCACAGGTGACACGCCGTCTGCCTTGTTTCTCATCCAATGTCAACGCCCGCACGTCAGGTACTGATGGAAATCAGCGCCATTCGGAATGGGTTGCGAGACCCTCCGCGCAAAAGATCCCCTCGGAAAAAGAAGTCCCGAACCAGATCGAGTTCCGTCGCCGGCGAGGCCGTCGAGCTGGAGGATCGCACCCCGTCAACCGTCCTCTCCCCTGCCGACTCGGCATCTGCTCTATCATTCGCCGAAGCATCTCGTCCTCACGCCATCAGCCAAACTTCCGCCGACGTCGAACTCGATGCCAGCGGTCTACCCTCCCCCGTGCCTGTGGATGCTTACCCACTCGACCCTGGATCTGAGCCTGAATTGGAAAGTGATGTTGAAGACAATTTAAATGACAGCGGCGAGCAGGGCCGTCCCACCTTTAGCCTGGGACGCACGATTATCAAGGTCCTGCTTAAACCCGTCATCAGTAGCGTCATCATCGGCTTGGCCCTCAACTATAGCCTTCTGGGCTACAGCAGTGTCCCTCTCTATGTCGACAAGGTCACAAGCAAACTCGGCATAGTATGTCCAACCTGCCCCGGTCACATCGCACCGTCTTTGCTGCAATCTTGCGGTCCGCCACCTTTTCTTCTCATCTGCACGATTTCCCACCACCCACTTCCTTTTTCTCCGTTTTCTTTTCCCCGCAGGCTTTTGGTGGGCCAGCCCTTTTAAACCTCGGCGGCAACATGCAGGGCAAACTCCGCTCCATCGGAGGCAAGGGCCTTCTCACAACCGCTCTTCTAATTTGCGCCAAGCTGTTTCTCTTGCCTATTTTGGCCGCCACCCTCCTCCAGTCTTTTCACTCGGCCTCCATCACGCAGTCCGATGGCACCGAGGTGTCCCTCTCTGTTTTCGCCTACATCATGGGTACTCTGCCCACCGCAACCGCCGTCTTCATGCTGGCCTCGGACTTTGGCATCCTCGTCCAAGAAGCTACCGCCACTGTCCTCCTATGCACCATTGCCTCAGCACCCGTCATGCTGGTCTCGACAGCCATTGCTAGCATCTCCATTCAAGGTCCTGAAAATTATCAGGACTTGCTCGAAAGAGTTTCTGAGGACGTGGGTCTCATATCCACCCTTGGTGCCCTTTACCTTCTCATCATTCACGTGGTCGCCCCCAAGGTCAACGCGGGCCATCGCCTCCACATTCCAGCTCTAACTGTCAGCGCCATCGGCCTTGGCATCAGCCTTCAAACGTGCAAGCTCTCCACTGGCGACTTTCGCGTACGTTTGGGAAGAACTTGACGCAAAGAGAGGCAGATCAGAAAAGCAGAATGCGGTCAGAAAACAGGAAGGAAAAAAAAAAAAAAATAAAACACTTCAGCGCTGGCATCGCATATTCTTACAGCCCTTTTTGTGTCGTCTGGCGTCCTCATTTATTTTCATCTTCAGCTGCGATATGTTATTATTTGGCTCTTTGCTTCTGGTTTGCGAGCAGCCGTGCTCACCTCAACCTTGACCATGTCCCTTGGCCTCACTCTCAAAGAGCGCTACACTCGCGGGTACGCCTACTGCTGGACCGACCCTGTTTTGCATTAGACACACCATGGTGCCCGTGGACCATTCTCGCACACCAGACTCGTCGCCTGTTGTCGGTGTGATGACCCCCGTTCCCCTGCTTTTTTCTCTTCCTTTTTCATTTTGTCTACAGGCAACAGCGAGCAGTTGCCGTTCTTGGCGTGCTCATGGCTTGCGCCATGACGGCACTAGCCTGGTGGAGAATGGAGGAACATGAATTTACTTACCAAGATGACCTGCGGGGTGCCAACTGTTGGATTATCAACCGCATGTCGCATAGCCATAACACGGCGCTCATCTTGGACATTGGTGTACAGGCCAGCGTTCTTGCCGTTCTCTCCGTTTCACTGGTTATCATGATTCGGGCCCGCAAAGCTCGACAAGAGCTTGCCCAGAGCGACCTGAGTCATGATCTCTTGGCCTACGATCGGTTGGCCTCCAACTACAGCGTGGCATCCCAGATGGTTGACTATGATGACCAGGAAGCTCTCATGGCCGCGCGAGAAAAGCACGAAGACTATTTGAGCTACCGCGACTTGGTCTTTGTGGCTGTTGAGATTGTTTTTTACTTTATCGAGCTCATGACCCTGCTCTGGATTCTGGCGGGTGGTGTCGAACAAAAAGAGTTTGCACAGGTATGGCCCCGCCATCACCTTAGCTGGATAGGGTTGCAATCTGAGGTTTGACAGTCTCATACAACCCATCCATTGTGTCAACTAGGTTCGCGTCCTGGACGTCTTTTTACTATCGGCTCAAGGTGTGTCTGCAGAAGCAAAGTACTTGCCATCAGGACGACTCGAGGCCGGGTGTCTCGCGCAGCGGCGCTGTTTTTTATGGGTTTGCCCTGACCTTTCTTTTTTGCGGGATTCGCCTTCTTGTAAATCCTTGTATTTAGGCGTCATCTTGTTTGCGGTGTTTGCCACCAAGCATCGCTATACGCTTCCGATGCGCAACCTGTTTCGCCGCATCGGACGGGCCATGGGTCTACAGAAAGAAAGCTACGGCGGCTTCAACTTTGATCGACTTGACCCCACCATCCGTCGTCGCGTCGACAAGTTTTTGGGGCTCCGCGCCGAGTTTGAGCGGGCTTATCCCCTTAAAAGCAGCATCTCCCGCAAGCTGGGCCCCTATGTACGTGGTGCACCATTTGTCAGACAGCGAATAACATCAATCCTCATCCCTTCGCCTTTTCTTTGGTCCAGATGTATTTTACAGCTGCGGATTTGATTTCGTTTTTGGTGCACACCAAATTGGCCGAGAGTCGCGATGAAGCATTGGCGCATGCCATTGAGCTCATCCGCGTCGGCGAATTCGAGGTTGTCACCGGTCGCATCGTGCGCGACGACCCGTCGTTGCGCTGCCGCTTCTTGGACGACGGCAACGAGGTATCCCTGCTCTGCGATGCTTGATCTCCCTATGCCTTTGCTCTTATCTGTTGGTGCCCGAGAGTTTTTTCTTTTTCTTGCTTTCTTTCTTTCTTTCTTTTTTGTTAATGAAGGTACACGCTCCTCTTGCTTGTAGGTGGAAATGACCACGCGGACCGCGACGCTGCGTGAGGCAGCCCGGTAGCAGGATCCGCTACCCTGTACGAGTTTGTTTTCGGGTTGTTCAATGTTCACGTGTGGCGACGGCATGCTGTTCGGCTGAGCCTGCCCTTGTATCTGTCGCTCCCGTGTGTGCGCGCGTGCACGCGAGTGCCGTGCACCATCTCAAATAGGCCGAGATCCGGTTTGCTTCTGCCCTGTTTCTTCAATCTTGATTTGGTTCTTTTGCTGTTGTGTTCCGATTTTTTGCCTTTTCTTTTTTCTTTCTTTTTTTGGAGGAAAGCACGCCCGAGGCGTGCCAAGTGATGATTGTCCACGACGACTACCAAGCTGTCTTGGTCTTGTTTTTTCCACAAGTGGTTCCCACAAAGCATAAGGAGGCCGCTGTCCCAAAATCACACCCACACGCAAGTCCACACAAGTGTCATTTGTCTGTCTGTCTCTTCTTATAGGAAATAAAAGGTCATGATTCAAATTCCATGTACACGAACGCAGACTACAAGACCACTACACAAAACCCCAAAAGGGAAGAAGCGCCATGTTATGATGGCTTGCGCTGTCGAGCTTCTGCCGCCCCCAGTTGATCGTTCTGCCTTTCTCCCTGGCAGCCCGTGGCGGCCCGAATCCGTGATATTGTGTGGCAGTGTCGATAGCGGGGATTCAATTTGTGCAAGGTTCGAAACGCCAAGTCTTTGAGCCGGCCTCAGTGCTCACTCAAAAGAAAAGGTGTTTTCCAGTTCCACTGGCCATCGTTGCGGTACCACGCGACCTTGTTGTCAGCCAGACTCGCACCGAGGACATCGAGGTTGCCGTCGTCGTCCAAGTCCGCCGCGTACACCGAGAAAGCGCTATTGGCCGCGGTGGAGATGACAATTTGTTCGGAAAAGGTGCCGCCGCCGTTGTTGCGGTACCATACAAACTGGTTATCGTTGCGGCTGGCGCCGAGGACGTCGAGGTCCCCGTCGAGGTCCAAGTCCGATGCGTACACCGAGATGGCACCACCAGCCGAGGCGGATATGACAATCTTTGCGGAAAATGTGCCGTTGCCGCTGTTGCGATACACGCAATCTGATTGTCATTGACACTGGCGCTGAGGACGTCGTTGTCGCCGTCGCCGTCCAAGTCCGCTGCGTACACCGAGCGGGCACTATTGGCCGCAGTGGTGATGATGTTTTGTGCAGAAAATGTGCCGTTGCCATCATTGCGGTACCACGCAATCTTGTTGTCGTAAGGACTGGCACTGAGGACGTCAAAGTCACCGTCACCGTCCAAATCCGCCGCAAACACTGAGGAAGCGCCTTTGGCGACCGTGGAGATGTTCATCTGTGTGGAAAAGGTGCCATTGCCGTTGTTGCGGTACCATGCAATTTTGTTGTCGGTGTAGCTGGCACTGAGGACGTCAGGATCGCCGTCCAAGTCCAAATCGGCTGCGTACACTGATTGAGCGCCACGGGCTGCGGTGGAGATGACGAGTGGTGCGGTAAAAGAGCCACCGCCGTTGTTGGGGTACCACGCAATTTTATTGTCGTCGGTACTGGCGCTGAGCACGTCGAGGTCACCGTCCAAGTCCAAGTCTGCTGCGTACACCGAGTAGGCACCATTGGCCATTAAGGAGATGACGATTTGCGGCGGCGCGCTCCACCACTTGTCAAAAAGGTAGGCGAGGGCGGATTCGACATCAACACCATTGACCACCACCTTTCCCCCAGTCGAGCTGAGCATCACGTCCCCGATCGAGTTGATGTGCAGCGTCCCAGCGTCATCCACCTCAATCGACGGCCCCTGACCCGCCACCACCCCCACACCCAGCGCCCAAACCAGCAGCACCAGCCCCAGGCCTCGACACCGTCCCGACACCGGCCCGACCCACGACAACTCATCATCCTGCAGTGTGTGTGTGGTGGACACAGAAGCGACAAAAAGAATCTGACTAATCACAATAAAAATGATGACAATATTGTCAGAAGAAGAAGAGAAGTTCTCAAGCAAAGCAAGCCATGATCTCTCTCTCTCTCCACACAAGCAAACAAAATCAAAAAAGAGAGAGAAAGAGAGAAAACGAACTCAAAGACTGGGACGTGTTCGGTTCGGTTCGGTTCGGTTCGGTTCGCTTCGGTTCGCTTCGGTTTGCTTCAGTTCAAGTTTGCTTCGGTTTGCTTCAGTTCAAGTTCGCTTCGGTTTGCTTCAGTTCAAGTTCGCTTCGGTTTGCTTCAGTTCAAGTTCGCTTCGGTTTGCTTCAGTTCAAGTTCGCTTCGGTTTGCTTCAGTTCGCTTCGGTTCGGTTCATTCTCACCGCAACTTTGGGTGGTCAGGAGTGACGGTGAGGGATCGGCGGGATGGCACAACACATGGAGCATCATGAGGTGGAGACAAACTACGCGCCTGTGATGTATCCGGACGTGCTGATTATTTGCGCCAAGGTGGAGGAACGCAACGATGCCTTCGCGGCGATTCGCGATCTGCAGCGCGAGCGCCCCGACGCCAACGTGGAAGTGATTGGCGACCTCAATGCCAACCGAGTCTCCCTTGGTGGGAACGAGCTGGTGTATGGTGATCTGCACGTCGCAAACGGCCAGGTGCACGCCCCGTTTTTGGACGCAGAGCGCGTCACGCGCACGAGCTCGCAGCCGCGCGTCGGGGCCATTGGGCTTCGATGGGTCCTGGCCGCTGGCCCCCGACAAGGCCCCGAGTCGGGCGCCGCTGGCGTGGCTACGCTCCTGGCGCGGCTGCGCCCCCGAGCGGCTGTCATGCTGGGCATGTGTGCCGGTCGTCAGCGCAAGTTTTGCCTCGGAGACGTGGTCTGTGCTGGGGCAGCCACCCACATCTTAGAGGGCAAGCGCGAGGGGCAGGGCCTTGTGATGCTGGACCGGCGTCGCATGGAGGACTCGCGTGCCATGAATATCGCTCGCATCGTTGAGCAGAAGAGCCCCAAATTCCGACAACACCTGTGCCCCAGGCCTCCAGGTTTGGCCCGACGGGTCATGTGCGCCGAGTTTGCCAGTGGACCCATGGTTGAGGAGAATGGTTCCATGTGGAAAGACGCCCTCGGACGGAGATGTGATGCCTACGACATGGAAGCATCGGCCCTGTTTACCGCTACAGAGCAATACCAGCAAGTATTTGACCGCCAGTTTTGGAACCTGGGCGTGGTCAAAGGCATCATGGACTTTGGCACCGCTGCTTCTCGTGGTGGCGAGGCACAGCCCACGTGCCCCAATGGCACCAAGGACTCGGCTCTGATTGAGTACCTTTTGGCCCTGCACTTTGACCATGCATCTGCATCCACTGATGAAGCAGCTGCACGTTTTGTGCCCGACAAGGACCAAATTGCCACGCTCGCCGTGCGCAATGCCACGGTCGCCGTCTTTCTCGGCGTGTTGCCTGCCTATTGCCAGCAAGCGTCGCTCAGTGCCAAGCACATTTCTCTCGGTTGCCAATTCAGTGCAGCCAAGCAGGCCGAAAAGGACGCCAGCAACTTGCACAAGGCCTATAAAGATGCACTGATGCAGACCACGGCCGAGGTTGAAGCCGAGAGCAGCGATGGCCACCCCTTGCTCATGGGGCCAGTGCAAGTGACTCAAACGTATGATGCCGTGGGCAAGCAGAAGTTTACTCTCGAAGTCGCCCTCACGACCATTCATGGACTTGATCTACCCGAGGACGTAGCGATGACAGTGCGGACTGCACTGCAAAATGCCAGTGACCAGCAGGTGCCACAGTCCCGAAACTTTGCCGTCAAGGTGATGGCCAGTAGCAATGTGCCAGTTGTGATGCGCGCCTTCTCCACTAGCTCCACAGCCGAGCCAGTCAACGAGTTGGCAGCCACAACCTCAGCAGAGGAGCCCCACCCGAAGCGAGCGCTGTTGATGAAACAAGAGCTCACTTCGGTGTAGAAGCGTGTATCACATCAGATGCTGGTGTACCCCATTTGCACATATGCACTCAGATGTGCACATGACCCCGATGTCCACATGTCAAAGAATTGTACACGTCAATGAGAAAGCCCTTACGCTCGACTTGCTGCTCGGCCCTCGACGCGCCTTGAACCTTGCGTTTTTGACCCTTGACCTGACCTTCGCTTCCCACACCTTGACACTATTTTCCACAAGAGTACAATCCCACGACAGTAGATCCACTTGCATTTGACATACATCCGCATGCGGAAAGCATGACCTATGTAATGGGCAGAGACCAATGTTGACGTCGGGTGCGCCTGTATCCGTCGTGTTCAAGGGTGGATGTATTATACCAATGGCCGTGTCATCTGGGCAGAAGCATTCAAAGTCGATTCATTACAATAGCCTTGCAGACGACGCACTGCCGAAGCAACTGTGGCCATTCGTCATGGCGGTATTCGCGGTCGTTCCGCGGGCTTTTCCCGGTCTTCGCGGCCAGTTCGGTCGCCCTTGCCCTCCATAGGGATGATTAAAACCTTTAAGCACTTGTTCATGTTTTTAATAAAACTTTTACAAATTGTTGATGTTTTTAATAAAACTTTTAAATGTCGATGTTTAAATTCTTTGAATGCTATTTTCCATGTGTGCGGCACTGGCAGGATGCGGCGCTGGATGTGCGCGCTGGTCGTGTTTGCGGGGCAGTTGGTGCTGTTTGGGGCGTTGAGTTTCGCCCTGTTGAGCTGGTTGGATGCGAGTAATGGTGGGTCGGAGGAGCCGGGGGTGGTCGGGCGGGGTGGGCGCCATTGGCATCCGCTGGCTCGTAGCACAGCCGAGGTGGTGGCGCCGCCCACGTTTGAAAGCCCCAGACCCGATGAGCTGCTGCACGGTGCAGGAGCGAGTGATCAAGGCCTCGCTGAAGATCTCTCCCAGATTGCTCGGTTTGTGCTGGGGCTGCCACATTTGCTACTTTGAACATGGTTTTGGGCCTGCGGCTGCGCCTATTCGTTGCTCACGACGTTTGGGATGCGCCTCCCGACCTGCAGGGAGATTCAGGAGCGCCAGGAACACTTTGCAGCCGACCTGGCCGCCCTCAGCCCGCAAAACGTCCCGCGCGCTGCTGGTATGCGCACCTTGCTTTTTCTCAGCTCGGCTGAGACCAGCTACATCTCTGCACACCTCACCCGTTGCCTTGTAAACCTGCCCCAGAGCTTGGCGTTGATTTTACAAGTTTCAATTGGACCGCCTGTCCACTTGCTATTCACCCAGACGCCTCCTCAGCTTATCAGGTACCTCCCCCCAGCCCCTTCAGCCACCTGAAATCTTGCTCTGGTATCGTCGGCACGTGCTTACCATGAGCATCTCCGTCACTCTGCGCCAGCGTGCCCCGACCGAGCGCTGCAAAAAGTTGATTCATCAAACAACCTGCCTTCAAACCGTGAGTCGGCCTGTTTTGCGCCATGTTTGCATCGGCCTCTAACACTGCAGCTAACCTCTTGCTGACAGGCAGGGTTGCTCTATCCTCAACAACTCGGTGGCGGACGCACAAAGCGATGCCAGCTTCTCCCAGCCTCTGCTTACACGGCATGGTGGAAAGGTTCGGGTCCTTTTTGCCTGACCAAACTGGTTTATGCAACATCGACGCCCCCACCTCGTTGCCTCACCGCTGCGGCGCGATTCGACTTGCTTAGGCCGCCTCAAACAAAATTCCAATCTTGTTTCATGGCCAAATGCTCCCATTGATGATAATATGAACGACATGCAAGCACAGCAGTGGCTCGAATCCAGCCTACAACTCGTCGTGCGTCCTGTCTGCATGTGTCAGATCTTGTCGTCGTAGGAGTGGTGTTTTTTTTTTTTTTTTTTTTTTTTCCTTGAAGAACTCATGCACTTGCTTGGTAGGACGCGGCGTTAATGCCACCCTTGCGCATTCTCTTTATGCTGGTTGTCCATGGACGAGACTACCGACAGCTGCAGCACGTTCTTAGAGCCATCTACCACCCCAATCACTACTACCTAATCCATGTCGAAGCGCGGTTCGTGCCGCACTGGCCAGCTTAACCTCAAACTTGGCTTGTACGCGCACGCACCCTGTCTGACCTTGGTTCATATTTACGCACTGCCTGGGTCTATTCATCTTAGTGCCAATCATCTCTATCACCAACTCAAGGCAGATCTCGCACGGTCTCGCCTCGTAAATGTTTTTCTCACCCAGTTTCGTCTGCCCACCATCTGGGGCGCCAGCAACCTGTACGAGGTACGTCACACACACAGCAACGCGCAGAATGCATGGTCCTCTCTGCAGCTCCTGTACATCTCATCTACAATGCCCAGGTGTATCTGCGTGGCATGGCGCAGCTGGCGCATTTGAGCTGGGATTACTTTATCAATCTCAGCGGTGCCGATTTGCCGCTATGGTTTGTACCATGCCCCCAGCTTGGTCACCGCCGAGCCCTGAATTTTCTCCCGTTCCTCGTCCCCTCTGGTTTCTCTTACGCCCCCCGCTCGACTGCGCATTTCGCCATCATCAGGCCGATTGATGATATTGTTCAGTTTCTATCGCCTGCCAGTGCCTTGGGAATCTCTTTTCTCAAATCTCACGGCAAGAATCACGATCGTTTCATTGCCAAGCAAGGACTAGATCGGTATACACCCAGCATCCTTCAAGTCTGCCCCGGCCTTTCTTCGTCTTCACGGTTCAGCTATGCCCATAAAGTGTCCTGACCTTTTCTGTGCTCGTGTCCCTCCCGGTTGCACGCAGAACGTTTGTGCTGTGCGATAATCACATGTATCGTCTGGAGAAACGCAAGCTGCCTTCGGACCTTGCCATGGAGGGGGGCAGCGATTGGTTTATGCTGCATCGGGAATTTTCAGACTTTGTGCTGGCCGATCCCCCTGTTGTTCAGGCCGCACGGTGAGTCTTTTGAATCTGATTCATCCTAGACCACACATCTGGGCTTGCTAGCTCGCCTCGCTCACCATCCTCACACAACGTGCTCCCATGCAAAAGTCGCTTCTACGACTTTTCCTTGCTCTCGGCCGAGTCCTTTTTTCACGTCGTCGCAGCCAGTGCGGACGGATTCTGCCATCGCACCCTGAGCAACAATTATAGGGTGGCCAATTGGCACCGGGAGCGGGGCTGTCAATGCCAGGTACAGCTGCGCCTTTGTGATACAGTCAATTTGGCAACGGTGCGCTTACTACATTGATCACTTGCTGCCCTCTGCATCCAGTACAAGGCAATTGTGGACTGGTGTGGTTGTTCTCCCATGGTCTACCGTCGGGAAGATCTCGCCATGCTGCAGGTGCGCTTCATGCTGTTGAGGGCCACCCGCCAGCGCCTCGGATCCTTACAACGTCTATGCCCACCTTCACCTGCTTGTGCATACCTGTCTGTGCATTCGCTCCATCGCTCATCGCATCACTCGCAGCGTCGCCGTCACCGTCCAGTCATGTTTGGACGAAAGTTTGACAGCACCATTAGTCACACCATCGTCGAAGAGGTTAGAAATACAGCTATGCCACCGCTCTGCGCTGAGCCAAAGTTCAGAAACTTGTTTCTTCATTGAAATGACCTCTAATTTTCCACAAACCGCTTTGATAGGTGGTGACCCGTTTGCTGCTTTTGCCGCCTCGTAAGAATCGGCCACTTTCGTACGCATGCATGACCATGCTTGACTGCTGCTGCCAGAAACTGATCGGGCATCCGGCTGTGGCAATTTAGTCTTTAATCCAGGACGTCACTTTTTGAACGTTTGGGACACGAATGATGGCGCCCAAAATCGCAACACTCAGACAGCCATGCAGGCACTTGCTGCCTCGATCGAGGTGAGTTGCTGAATCGTTCAACGCCGTGACTTTTTCAAGCAGAGATGCGTTTCAGCGCCCCCAAGTCCTCATTTTAGTTTCCAACGGTCTGTTACTTGACAGGGACATCGAAGTGGCCTTCCAATCCGATCAGAGTTGTGTCCAGCTGTTGCAACCTGGCATCTAGCTGAGGTGAAGCAAAGACCGCGGCACCTTCCCAATCCCGTTTTGTTCATGGCTTTATTGGTCCACGGTCGCAGGGGAGCTCACATCGCGTTTGCGCGGCGTTGTTGTGCTCCAGGCTCATGCACGGTTTGAGGCCGACGCTTTTGTTGGGTATACGCTGGTGTGGACGCCAAAAATGACCACGGCGGATATCATGACAGCGCCGCGCATCGAAGCATTTGCGCGCCCAAGCCCGCCAAAAGCCTTGGTTGGTCCCCCTGCCAAAGAGTTGATGAATGTGCGTGACGCTGACCTTGTCTTCTGCTCTGCGTGCCTTACAGGTTATCGCGGGTCGGGAGGGGCTGACTCGGCTTCAGACCGCATTTGTCGGAGTGGGATGGGACGTGAAGGAACGCGTTTTTACTCGGTTTGTGTGTCCGTTCTTACCGGTTTCAAGTGGCTTCTTGCGCTCCCACTTTCTCATCAAATCCCGTGGTGCATCATAGCCAAGGGAGGCTCGTGACTGTCGAAGATGAGCCCACACTGGTTATGGTGTGGACAGCGGGACCTGAGCTTCTCGTGTCGGTGGTAAGTTTTGCGAGTGGCGGTGTTTGCAGAAAGGGCTTGGGTTTCCATCCGCTTGACACCTGCGTGCGCAGCAGCAGAGGTAGAACTCTTGGGGGCATGCTTCCGTCAGACTTGATTCACCGATGTTTGTCGGCAGCGATGGATGCGACCAGATGGCCAGATGGAAGACCAAACTGCACTCAAGATAGAGAAGGAGCAGGAATATGTGCATGTGGTTGCCTCGCTGGGCAAAGAAGCTCGCCATGCCGGCCTTTGGCATGCAGTGATCGTTGATGATGAGGTAAAGCGCACGTGCATTGTGGGCGTCCCACCTTTTTTTGGGTGACTCATTCACTGACTCGCTTCACTCGGGTGCAGACACAGGGCGTGATGACCAGCCTGTCTTTTGCCATGTTACCTAGTCTGCAGGTATGCAGATTTCTGGCTTATTGCATGATTATGATGGTGACTGAGGGCTCACCGTACATTGATTGGTCTGGACAAATCATTAGTCAGCCTCGTTTCGCGAGGAGAGCACGACCCTGCTGCGGCAAAGCTGGTCCCTGGTTGAGTGGTGTGCGTCAAAGCCGGCAGGCGAATTGCTGGCAACATGCGATTGGCATGGGGTTCAGCTGTGCGAAAATCATACGCTCAGCCCCTACGCCACGGGCGCAGCGTGGCATTTGGAAGAGGCATTGCAGCATGTGTAGAAGAAAGGCATTGTACTTGGAGACGGTGCCGTTTTGAGTGCCCAGAATTCGATTAGGACAAGAAGGAACAGAACAAGAAGAAGAAGAAAAAATAGAAGAAGAAGAAGAAGAAGAAGAAGCAGAGGAAGACTACGAGGTCAGCGAGCATCAACATCCCTATGGCTTGGTCCGACAAAGTGTGGTTGCTGCTCTCCAAATCGAAGGAAGAAAACGTTTTTGCACCAAAGTGGAGTAAGACTCGCAACAAACAACAAAGAAGGCAACCGATGCCAACCTTTAGGGCGTTTAGGCGCGCTTGACGCGCTTTGCGCTTTGTTCGCCGCCCTCGAGGTCGAAATCATCCTCGCCGTAATCCTCAGCCGTTACATCGTCGTCGTCGTCGTCAAAGCGACTAAAGTGTTTTGCCGAAGCGTCAGTCTCTCTGGGAGATTTGTCACCATTAGCCTCCTGCTGCCGCTTCGTTTCGCGACGGCGTTGCTCATCCTCTTCCGAGTCTGCATCGCCGCGCGTTGTGTTGGGACGACGCCCGACAAAGCTGCCATTGAGGTCATCTGACTCGCGGTTGGCTGAAACATGGTGCCTGGATCGATCCTAAAAGGACCAGATGGGTTGGTGACCGATGATCAACGTCGGTGGGCGAAGAATTGTAGCTCTCGAAGAATTCAATGACTTTTGCAGCATCGCTATTTCCTTACCTGCATGGCTTCGTCATGTGTACGGCGTTGGGCGGCGTTGCGAATCTGGAGAGCGACATGAGATGCGCAGTAGGTGAGTTGATTGCCGGGCGAAAAGAATTAGAGGGTGGAGAAGCAGAGGAGAAACTCACACGAATGCGCGTGCCGTTGAGCATCGTGTTGTGGAGTGAGCGTACGCAAGCAGCACCAACGCCATCATCCTCCAGGCTGGTGCATGCGGGGAGGCGTGAAAGACATTTCGGGGCGGGAGCAAAAGAAAAGTGAGGCCGAGAAGCGGCGTCAGAGCTTGATGCACCCTTTGGAATGCCACGATGGCGTACCGTACAAACACTTCGGCTTGGCGTCCATCTACCGATAGAACACGCCCATAAGCACCCAAGTAGTGCGCGAGCTGCGTGGCTGCCGAAAATGGAGCTTTGTTGAGGGACCAGTCACTGGCCAATGCCGAAGAATTGGTGCTGGGCGCGGCGCTGACAGCTGTTTGACCCTCGGTGCTAGCCTCCATTTCATTTCCTGTTTGCGTGGCCGGTGTTGCCGCAGGACCAGCACCTCCCATCACCATGCCCGAAACGATAACCGTGGCTGCTGCCGGTGGAGCGCGCCTCGTGGGCTCATCGCTCCCCTTCAGCTCGGCATCTTCATCCATCACCGCTGTCTCCGCATCCAAGCCTGCCTCTGCCTCTGCCTCTGCCTCTGCTTCAGCGCGCACCTCTACCGCTTCATCCACCTTTTCTCCCGTCTCCATCCCCGCCATCGTCTCCGTCTCCGTCTCCGTCTTCGCATCCGTCGCCATCTCCGCTGTCGCCATCATCTTCAAAAACTCGAGTCGCGTCGTCTCGTCCGACACGACGCTCAACTGACAGCGTTTGTCTGACAATTGGTTCGGTCCATAATTGTCTGACAAATACTGATAAATACTGTCTGACAATGAGTATCGGGTCAGCCAGACTCACATATGGGAGATTTGCTCGTGGTAGAGCGGCTGGCTGGAATGTGGGTGTGATGAGCATGAGGAGCGTTGTGCGAGGGAGTGCGAGGATGTGTGTGTGTGCGCGCGCGTGTGTGTACGAGATACAGCCTTTGCGGGGAAACGATAAACTCTGGGCTGCTAAGGACGACCAGACAGTCAAAATCGCAAGATCGATTAATGATAAAGGTCCTGGACAAGTTGGTTTTATGTATTTGCTTGTTTTCGTTCCGGGCGGGACAATTTTCCTGAGTAATAAAAAAAAAAGTAGGAGAGGGAGAGAAGACTACATGTAGGCAACATCGATGCTGCTGCCAATGTTCGTGCGGTGAGTATCCCGGCTTTGGTTCATTTCCTGGCTACGGAAGACGACACGATCGCCGTATTGCTCCACCTGTGACGCATTGATCTCGCCAGGAGGGCCTCGTCTCTGCATCTCCATGACCCCGCCTAGCTCACTGGCCGGAGCCAGGTCCACTGAGGCCTTGCGTGAGCGGCTGCACAGCATCCAGATTCCCACACCCAAAAGAAGCAAGAGGACCACGACGAGGACTGGGACAACAATATACATGGTGTCACGGTCGCTGTCGTCGTTGCCCTGGGACAGTGATACACTGGTGCTGGCTTGCGTGATGTAGGACGTGTCCTCAGCCGCGTAGGCTCCGACCACGGCCGTGGCCAGGGGTTCGTAGCCAGCTGCTTGTGCCAAGCCTTGAATTCGCTGCTGCAACACGAGAATCTGCTGTAGCAAGGCTCCCACCTGCAGCGCAAACGTGCGCTCTGCCGCTGCGGTGGTCGCCACCTCGCCCGTCTCAGCCATGACTGTTTGCTCTGGCATGGTTAGCTCGACCAAGTACACCACCTGCACCCCGCCCGTCGTGGAGTCCGTCTCGATGGCAAGCACGCTGACCAAGACCACACCCGACGCACTGAGACTTGCCATGTGGTGGCGCAGAGCCTGTGTAAGTACGTTCAGCGCAGCGGTGTCCCAAACCATGGTGTCATCGGTCTCGGCTGTCGCGCTGTTGGCTCCAGATTGCAGACTGGACGCCGGCGTTTCCGGCAGGCGCAGCACACCCGTCACAAGCATGGTGCTGTCGTCATCGATGGTCTGCTGCAGCAACATGGGCTGCGTGCGAGAGGCAGTCGTCAGCGCACCACAAACGCGATCGCTGGTGGTTGAAGGGGCTTGCAGCTCTCGACCTGAAAACTGGTCACCCACCACACACGTGGTCAGGTCGGTACATTGGGTGTCATAATCCACGCTACAAAATCCGGGGGCCGCCATCACCACGCCGGCTGCTGGGGCCGTCAGATTGGCATACTGTACCACCTCGTCACAAGTGGTGCAGGCTCGGCACGTGTCGGAAAGACTGACACTGGTCGGCAACATGTCCCCGGTGCACGTATCGGCCCTGCGGACCGTCACTCCAGCTTCACAGCTGGGGCAGTTGGCACATTCACGATTCTCGTTAACCGTGGGCGCCAACACCTGCACTTGGCCCGCGGCACAAGGTGCTACAGAACAGACAGACAAACGTGAGAAGCAGGCACAATAAACTTGATATGAACACACGCGCGAATCCTCCAGATCCGTTGCTATAAGCGGCATTACTACCAGCAACACAATCACTCACCAGCCCAACTAGTGCACACAACGTCTGATGTCAAAGTAGCTGCGGCGCTGATATACGTGCCACTCGGGCACGTCGAAATGGGTGTGCACTCGCGACCGCTGGTGGCAGTGACAGGAGCAGTTTCGTATGATACACCATCGACGCAGGCCTGGGCCACTAGGCAACGGCCGTCGGTGGCATACTCTTCGCTGTTTGGCTCGCAAGCTCGGCATGGCCAGTTGCCATCCACCCAGTCACCACTAGCATTGCACGTGTAATTTTTGATCTCAGAAGCACGGGAGGCGTCAACACCAAACCCGGCGCGACACTGGAATACATGTTCAATGTCACATTCATCACCCGGATTGCCCGCACAGGTGCCCACTGCAACCAGATCGGTAGCCATGGTAGAAGGCAGGCTATCGCAAACTACTTCAGTGCACTGCAACAAGGGATAAGCAGGATTCACAGGCGTCCAGCTTCCATCGACACCACACCTGTAGGTGGCCTGCCGGCCAAGCCAACCTGGTGAGCAGTCGGCAACGCAAAGCGAGCCCAATGTAGTGGTACCATTCACTAGGGTGGTCGCGGCGCCCGCATATCCGTGCACGGTCTCATTACAAGTGCCACAATCAAGAGGTTCACAAGTGGGATTGGTCGTAATCTCCCAGATGGCACCTCGGCGGCATGTCGCCACGCCACCGGCTCCTTGGTAGCCTGCGGCACAAGGCAAAGGGCATTCGCCGCCCTCGCCAAGGTTCAAGCAACGTGAAACCACAGATACATCCAAATCTGGGACGCGCGAAGGACAAGCCGAGGTACTGGTCGTCGTGGTAGTGGAGGTCGACGTTGAAGTGGTGGTAGTGGAAGTGGTGGTAGTGGAGGTGGTGGTAGTGGAGGAGGTGGTAGTGGAGGTGGTAGTGGTGCTTGTGGTGGTGGTAGAGGAAGTAGTTGTGCTTGTGGTCGTGGAACTTGACGTTGTGGTGGAAGATGTAGTGGTGGTTGATGTCGTGGTGGTAGGCGTCGTGGTGGAAGATGTAGTGGTAGTAGAAGAGGTGGTAGTGGTGGTCAAGGTTGTATTCGCGCTAGAGGCCGAGTTACTTGTTGGCACTGCCGCAGTGGTCGTGGAGCCAGCCATCGTTGCGTTGGTCGTTACACCCGTGGAAGATGCCACGGATGACGCCAGGGAAAGGGTAGCTGAAGTCGATGAGGCGTGACGATGACGGGTTTGCCATCGTATGGGCTGATTTGGGCTGGTGGTGGATTCGGCAGCCTCAATCGTCGTTGTCGCCGGATTGCTGCTTGATGCCATGGAAATGGGTGAGGAGAGAGGTGGTGGACTCGGCACCTCAATCGTCGTTGTCGCCGGATTGCTGCTTGATGCCATGGTAATGGGTGGTGATGAGGAGGAGGTGGTGGATTCGGCAGCCTCAAGCGTCGTTGTCGCCGGATTGCTGCTTGATGCCATGGTAATGGAGGAAGAGGTGGTGGATTCGGCACCTTCAAGCGTCGTTGTCGCAGGATTGCTGCTTGATGCCATGGTAATGGGTGGCGATGAGGAGGAGGTGGTGGATTCGGCAGCCTCAAGCGTCGTTGTCGCCGGATTGCTGCTTGATGCCATGGTAATGGAGGAAGAGGTGGTGGATTCGGCACCTTCAAGCGTCGTTGTCGCAGGATTGCTGCTTGATGCCATGGTAATGGGTGGCGATGAGGAGGAGGTGGTGGATTCGGCAGCCTCAAGCGTCGTTGTCGCCGGATTGCTGCTTGATGCCATGGTAATGGAGGAAGAGGTGGTGGATTCGGCACCTTCAAGCGTCGTTGTCGCAGGATTGCTGCTTGATGCCATGGTAATGGGTGGCGATGAGGAGGAGGTGGTGGATTCGGCAGCCTCAAGCGTCGTTGTCGCCGGATTGCTGCTTGATGCCATGGTAATGGAGGAAGAGGTGGTGGATTCGGCACCTTCAAGCGTCGTTGTCGCAGGATTGCTGCTTGATGCCATGGTAATGGGTGGCGATGAGGAGGAGGTGGTGACGGTGGTCGAAGCGGTGGTAGCAGCCATCGTGGTGGACGTTGATGCTCCCGAGGTAGTAGTGACGGCCATTGTGGGCGAGGCTGACATAGTGGCGGTGGTAGGCGTCATCGTGGTGCTCGCAGCAGTGCTGGCCGCGGTCGTGGCAGGCACAGTTGTCTCAATAGGTGTTGTTGAGGACAAGGGCAATGTGGTGGATGATGGTGAAGAGGTCGTGGAAGTGCTTGTTGTGCAGATGTTGTTCTCGTTGACATAACATTCTGCAGTTGGACATTCCACCGGGCCGTAAAGGTCACATGGCATATCTTCATCAATGCCCATGCATCGACCTGTTGTGTAACCGTTGAACCATTGGCAGCGATCTGAAGGGCAGCTGCTGGGGTCGCTGTAGAGCTGGCATTCCGGGGGCACACTTGCGTTATGGCAGATCCAAGCCAAACGATCGAATGTGCAGCCAGAGAGACGGAGGCACTGGCTTTCATCCATGGCGTCGGAGCATTCCCGGGCACGGCAAATGCTAGAAATGGGCTCATAGATGCAGGCTGATTGACTCTGACACTCAAATTCACCCAAGGTGTCGCAGGTCCCAGCCTGGCCCGAGCAGGTAGCGAGCCAACCGACCACCAGGATCAAACTGCCCCACCGATTCCATGATGCCGACGCCATGATTATCGTGGCCGCCCTGCAAATGTTATAAGAATAGGATGCGTGCGCATGAGACAAGGCTCGGCTCAAGTGGCAGCACGTGTGCTGGAAATGAAACCCATGCACAAAGAGGACCGAATCAGCCGAGATGGGCCCGCGAGAGACAGCTGGAACATGGAGACTCACGCTGCTCGACGAATTACTTTGATGACGAGATGGCGAGCACCTGTGAGCGGGGTTGAAGCTCGCACAACACCCAGCGGCCCCCGTGGCCGGAAGAACCGTCTCCGAGTTGATCTGACGCTAATAATCAGGATCTATTGTCCCAACTCAACCGCAAGCACGTCCGCCCACTCGATCAGACAGACAGGCACGGGTTGCGGGTTGCGACGCGCGCTGCCGTTTGGAGCAACACCACCCCTCGACCAAAAAAAAAATAAAATAAAAAATAAAAAAAGGAGAGACAAAACACAAAAAAGAAGAGAAAAGTGGGCGGGAACGCGCCTTTTGTTCCGCTATAATTAGCAGGCGCTAGTGTGAAAAGATTAAACGTGAATGATTGAAAGCCATTTTTTTATAGCAAAGTCTTTTGATTTTCTGCAAAGTTGCTTTGTTTGGAAACAAAGGGAGTTGGTCTGTCTGAAACGGCAGCGCCCCGATCGCGACTTGGACTGAACGGCCGATGAACGATCGCTTCAGCACGGAAGCCGATGAACGATTGCTTCAGCACGGAACCTGTGAAAGGGGATTGAACCCAGCGCAAACAGCCCATCTGTGTAACTTGTCAAATCTACTGCCCATAAAGGGAACAAGAGAGCAGAGAAGCAGACGAGACTGAAAGGTCTGAGAGCCAGAGCCAGGGAGTCAGAGGGCCGCAGAGCCCGAGGGCCAGGGAGCCAGCGCCCACACACAAAGAGTAGGGCACATGGGCAGAACTCTGGTACAACAGACACAAGTCTGGTGATGGCTGGCCGCTGTATGGAAGGAGCAACTTTCAGTGGTTGGTTTCTTCCTACGTTAGATATGGGCGAGACGACACCCATGCCTTGATCCCTGATGTTGCTGCTTCTGCTCGAGGACAGGCGTGCATGGCATGGACGTTGAGGGCGAGGGCTCAGAGTGGTGAGTGCCAACAAGAAGACGTACAGGTTTATCTCAATGAAACCGCCGAAGCGTAAAGTCGAAAGGACAAGGAAAATCAAGTAGCATGACACGGGTGGCAGATAGACCGCCAACAGAATGAAGAACACCACAAGGAGGGGTCATCAACAAGACCAGCTGTCTGGAAAGAAAGAAAGAAGAAAAGGCGGGCGGTTGAACTCGGCACACAAAGTCCCAACCAACCAGCTCAAGGTAAAGAAAGAGAGTCACGCTCAAAAGGCTCGGAAACTCGTTCGCATAGACACAAACAACACACACACACGGACAAAATCAAACGCGGCTGCCAGAGAGACAATGGGCGTGGCGTTTTGACAAGGAAACTCTCTTTAGTCGGAGAAGCTTTGGCTCTGCGACACGAGCCAGGGGTGTTGCAGGGCCATGTCCAGGCGCATGCGCTTTTCCGGGTCATGCTGCAGCAGCTGTGGCAAGTGCAAGAAAGGGGAGCAGCAAGTTGATGCAGAGGAGGAAATGACGTGAGCCAGGCAGACTTGTACTTGATGGAGCTAAGTTCGGTGTGCGTTACCTTGGAAACAAAGTCGCGCGCGCCCTCTGAGATGTAGTCGGGGAAGTGGAGATCCACCTTGACAATGCGGCGGTAGGTGTCGCGATGGCCTTCAGCTTCAAACGGAGGGTTGCCGACCATGAATTCATAGCAAAGCACGCCCAGGGACCACAGATCAACCTGGAGGGGTGTGAAAGCGATTGGTGAGCTGCTGCACGGGTGGGTCGCTGGTTTTCGCAAAGAGGTGGATATCGCACAGGGGCCTTTTTTCTTTTTTGTGGGGTGAGGGCGTGAGCCCTTTAGAAGACGACTTACGTTGGCATCATGGGCCTTGCCCTCGATCATCTCGGGGGGAAGGTAGTCGAGGGTACCACACAACGTGCGGCGTCGAGAACTAGGGGTGTGCACGGCCCAACCAAAGTCGGCAATCTTCAACGTTCCCTATTGGCATTGGCTCTTGTGAGCGCCTCGAGAGCCCCTATCATGACGCGCACGCGTATCTTGGTTGTGACGTCGGTTGAGGCGCGGGTTGAGCAGACCTTGAGGCCGAGGAGAAGGTTTTCTGGCTTGATATCACGGTGAATGACGTGCTTGCGATGGCAGTACTCGAGGGCAGTGGCAAGCTGCTTGATGTAGTTGGCGGTGGTGGGCTCGGAGAAGCGGCCATACTCTTGCAATTTCTGATTGGGTCCGAAGGAGCTGGAGGTGAGTTGGTTTTGAATCAAAGCCAAGGCTGAATGGCTGAATGGCTGAATGGCTGAAATGGCTGAATGGCTGAATGAATGAATGAAGGCGGTCGCACCTTGTAGAGCTCGCCTTGGGCGGCGTACTCGAGAATCAGATAGACGCGGCTCTCGTCGTAGAAATAGCCGTAGAGGCGGAGGATGTTGGGATGACGGAGGTGGGACTGAATCTCAATCTCGCGGCGCAGCTGGTGCTCGACGTTGTTCTTCTGCAGCTGGCTCTTGAAGAGGACCTATTGAGACAAGGGGGTACGTGGTTGATGGAGGCATTGAGAAGCTGTGTGCTCGGGGGAAGAAAAGGATGCCAAGAGTGGTTGGGCACCAGTTTTGCCGGTCAGGTGCAGGGAGACGAGGACTGACCTTGAGGGCGACGACAAACTTGGTGCGCTTTTCGCGGGCGAGGTAGACGTTGCCAAACTTGCCCCGGCCGAGGGGCTTGCCAATTTCAAAATCGTTTAGGGTCCACTCGCGCTTGGGCTCCCCAGACATGGCTGAGGCTGTCGAGGTTGTGGAAGCCCTGAACAAGGACGAGAAGACGACAAACTGGTCAGGCTGTGGTACTCAACTGCATGGCATGGCATGGCATGGCGGGAGGTCTTACTTGGCGTCTGCTTGAGAAGCTGGCTTGTTGTAGCTGCGCTCAGCCAGAGGCGCGCGCTGGATTGCGGTGAACCGAGGTGGTGTGGTGAGCAAGCGACGCGGTCAATGAGGCGATGCACAAGGCGGTATGTGGGGTGAGAGAGAGGCTGGGGACACACCTCGGTGGAAGCCATATTGGTGAGGACGAGCAGGGTAGCAAGGGGCAGGCTGCCAATGAATTGAAAGGGTTGCGGTCAAGGACCAATGAGCAAAGCGCAAGCCCAGCCGAGCTGGGTAGCCAGGCGAAGAACAGGGGGAGCACAAGAGAGAGAGGGAAGACGAGAAAAATGAGAAGAGCGATCCAAGAGCGGATCCTGACGGGAGCGCGGAAGGCAGGGAAAGAAAACACTTGATTTTGAATTTTCCCGGGCTTTTCAATTTGAATTGTTTGAAGCGGGAAAAGACCTTGGTTTGACATTTGCGATCTACACGTCTGATATTTCATCTGACATTTATAGATTGTCAGCACGGGAGAGAGAGAGACATAGAGAGAGAGAGTGAATGAGACAGAGAGAGACAGAGAGAGAGAGAGTAGAGAGAGCGAGTCGGGAGTCGAAAAGAGCGGAGAGCGTAGAACAGTTGAGAGATGTCGGTAGAGAGTTGAGAGCGCAGAGAGAGGAGTAGAGAGTTAGAGAGTCGAGAGGAGAGCGTAGAGAGAGGAGAGCGTACAGACACCATCTGCACCGCCCTGCACGCACTTGCAGCAGGGACTCGCCATTGATCGATCGTTACCTGTGCGAGGGTTGTGTTATGGGGGGCATAGGTAGACACGTCCGCTGGTGTGCCGGCGATGAAAGCAGACGGAAATGAGCGTGTGTTGCGATGATAACGACGGCCAACTTATCAAGCGTAGCAGGCTGGTAAATGGC